GGAAGCTCCATGTTTAGCAGTTTGAGGAACCTCCAAACAGTTTTCCATAGTGGTTGTACTAGTTTGCTTTCCCATCAGCAGTGCAGGAGAGTTCCTTTTTCTCCACATCCTCACCAACATTTATTGTTGCTATTTGTTTGAAGATGTGCTATTCTCACTGGTGTGAGGTGGTATCTCATTGTAGTTTTAATTTGCATTTCCCTTATTACAAGTGATGTTGAACATTTTTTCATATGCTTGTTGGCCATCTGCGTAATAACACTTTTTAAAGATTTATTTATGCATGCAGAACTGGGGTACAGGCCTCAGGTGGAGGGGTGGGGAGCAGTGGGAGAGACAGGAGAGGTCTGCTGTACCATGTGGGTTACCCCTCTGGCTAGGGATTGAGCTCATGCTGAAATGGCTGTGTCTAACTTCACAGTGCTGTGCTTTAACCCACTGTGCCACCAGGCAGGACCCAGTAACATTTTTTATTATTCAGATAAGCAAGAAATGACATCTCAGTGTAGTTTATTTTATATTTCTTTAAATATGAGTGAGACTGAAAAGTGTAAGAGATAAAAATTAAGGTCAATAGCTCATAAACATACATGCAAAATATCTTAAGATACTAACAAATTGAATCTGTCAATATACAGAAAGAATAACATCACAATGACAGGGATTTTTATTCTAAGAATGCAGAGTTGGTTTAATATTAGGAAATGTAATTCATGATGTCAGTGGGATAAAGGAGAATAATTATGATCTTTTCAATAGATATAGAAAATATATTTTACAAAATTCAATGTCAAGTCTTCATAATAATTCAATACACTAGAAATAATAGCAAGCTTCCTGAATCTGACTAAGGGCATTTATGAAACATCTACATCTAACATTACACTAACTAGTAAAAAAAAGGAATGTTTCCCCCATAAGGTCAGGAATAGGGCAATGATGTCTGCTCTCATCCCTTCTCAAACGTTCTATTGGAGGTATTAGCTGATGCAATAGGTAAAGAAAATGAAACAAGTTATACATATTGTAAAGGAAGATGGTAAGCTGTTTTATTTGCAGAATTAGATAAGATTGGGTAAGGAAAAAATCCTAAAAAAAAGCAAAACAATAACAGGACCACCTTGGTGGTACAGGGGTGTTAAGTGTCAGCACTGTGAAGCTATTACCAGCCACTACTCATACGTTTGATCCCCAGCCAGGGACCTGAGCCACATGGTGCAGCAGAATTCTATTGTGTCACCTGCTGCTCCCCTCAGCAGTGTATTTCAGTGGATCTGCCTGTTCTGCTCCCTAGTCTGTCTCAACCCCCACACCTCTGGCCTATACCCCAGTTCTTATATGCATAAATAAATAAAAATAATTAAAATCTTTTTAGAAAACAAGGGCCCTCTCTGGTGGTACAGCAGGTTAAAGTGCAGCGCTGCTTCAGTAGAGTTCTACCCCCAGCCCTGGATGTGACCCACCAGGCATGGCAGACCTGTTCTGACTGCTGCTTCCCTCAGCAGGGTACTTGTCAATCTGTCTGTTCAGCTCCCTACCCTGTCTCTGGTGAATCTTCTCACCGCCCTGCACCTCTGGCCTGCAACCCCAGTTCTGTATGCATAAATAAATAACTCTTTAACAGTAAAAAATTAGAACAACGAAAGCAAACTCCTAGTAGAATAAATAAATCAGCAAGTTTGCAGGATTATTATATCAATGAGTAACTAGAAATGATAGGTTAAGTGGTGTATACATTTGTTAAAACACATAAAATGATACTTATGTAAGTAAGTTTATATAATTTAATTGTGGTGAGGGTCAGGGAAGAGAACTGCTGATCACTGAAGGATGAGTAAAGTTGTTAGCCAAAAGGATAAAGCAGGAAAATGTAGGCTCTACTTAAGGTAGCTTGTTTCTTCCCAAGAAATTATGTCTTCATTTCAAATAAAAACAATTAGTTGAGAACCTCTTTCTGACAAGGTTTTAAAGAGACAGCAGTATCCTCCATCTATTCTTTTTCCTCTAATTTAGCTAATGTCTAGAATTTTTTCTTTTGAAATTTGGTGCTCAGAACGAAGAATGAAAACAAAACTAAGACTCACCTCTGACTCCTCTCAGGAATGTCCAGCACAAACCCAAACATCATCTCAGCAATTTTATTGGAGCTGCAGGTGGGGGTCCTGTCCACCTCCACAGCTATGGACAGCATCCTTTGCAGCTGGCAGACAATCCTGAGTCCGGAATACAGAACACAAGTGAGGATGGGAGTTTGGCAAGGGGCCGCCCTGCTGGCTGGGAGGAGGACCCACCAGTATGCATTGAGAATAGAGACTACTAAAGGGTCTTGTGCAGCACACACGAGGTCAGGGAGACTACTCAAGCCATCAGCATGCTTTTATTTAGCAATTTCACCTACCTGAATCCCTTTTGCCAGATCATACTATCTGAACCTCTCAGAACCTGGGGTTGAGCTGCAAAAGCAAGCTGCTTTTAAATTCAAAAATAGAAGCATACACTCCTAAGGGGCTAGAAAATTTAAGGTTTATCTAACCTATAACTTGTCTACTACACATCTGAAGAAACAGTTGCAGAATGACTATATTCTTTAATTTAGGAGAGAATACATAGTTACTATATATTTTTTGCCTGTTATTGGTTCTTTTACAATAATTTCTCACTAAATTTAGTCTTAGAACTTCATCTGGTGGAAACTGATCCTTGCTACTATCTACCTAATTAGAGGCGAACCAGGCCGATGTGGCAGAACTAATTTGGGGAACCCCAGATTCAGGCCAGGAGAGCCTCACCTTAAATCAATCTTTTAACATGCACTATTATTATTTGTGATGGAAGAAAGGATTCTGTTTTTAGAAAATTAGTAGCTAATGACAGAATAGATGGTCTAAGGGCTTTGGCATCAGATTCTAGCTCTGAAATAATAAGCTGTTTAACCTCTGACAAGTTACTAAACTGGTCTGAGTCCAAGTATTCTTATCTACACAAGGGGGAATAATATCACCTATTCTATAAAGTTGGAGTGTTGTGTAAAATATCTGGCAGGTAGACACTCATTGATGGTAAATAGTAGTTCCTATTATTGTTGTTGATAAGATCATGACAAACTTACTTTTTGAGAGCTTTGCTTTATTTCTAAGAATTATTTCTTTATATATTATTGCATGATACTAGTTTCCATTAAAGGAATAGTGATCCCTTTTCTCGTGTCCACAGATAATCCCATTTTAGGATATTCCCCACTCTGTTCAAGTAACTTCTTCATTGTTAAAAATATTTTCCCTTTACATACATCACTGTCTCCTAAATTAATTTAAATATTAGACTTACATAAACAAGTTTATGACACTAGATTATAATATAGCATTGTGAATTTAAGCACTGTTGCTGTATTTGAAATGTAAGATGTGATGGAACAGTAGGTTACTTATGCAAGGGTAGCTCCAGCTCCTAAAATCCTGGCATCTCTCAAAAAACGCTGAGACAATTCAATCTCAAACAAGAAATGTCCCGAATCTCTTTCCATTCATTGCAGACTGCGGTATGGAATGTGCCCTGGTCTCAGCCATTGCTGCTATCAACAATGGGACCCCATAGGCTGAACCACAATTCTACTTCCAGGGCGTGAGGAGAGAAGCAGGGTCTTTGTGGATTACAGGCTGCCAGAGCCACTACTCATAACTCCTTCCTGGCTGTCAGTAGACAGCTGAAGTAATGGGTAATTGTAATACTGGGTGGTCTCTTGGAGTCCAGGAAGGGAGGTGGTGTCCTCTAGCTTTTGGGAATTTGTATTCATTTAATGAAGTCCTATTCATCTGTGGGGAAAGAATCTTTTTTTTTCTACCTTTGGTATTAGAAATTTAGCCTTAGAGTCCTTAATAAGAATCAGCCTATTCTTGAGCTTGTTGATTTTGAGAAAACTGCTCTGAAGAGCTGTTCCCTCATACTAAATCTTCAAAGCCCAGGGAAAGACAACTTCCTCCTGCCCCTTACAGCTGATTGGCGTTCTTTGTCAGGTTGGGCAGGGGAGAAGTGCTGCTACTGCTGGCTTTCAAGCTTCCTATTCCAGAGGTTTGATTCCCAGCTGGGGGCTGAGTTAATCCATCTTCAGTTACTGCTTTGACCAACCACTTGATAACATCTCTGAAATGGAAAAACAAGAAAGAAACATTTTAAACTTTTTTTTTTTTTTTTTTGTATGGGCTATACAACTGCATCCTTAACTTGGGTTCCTAGGCCCTTTAGAATTTCCCAAAGGCAACAAAGATTTTCCTTTGGGCTATTTCTTTTAAAATTTCTTTTCATAGAAGATCTGGGGAGGCCAGAGGTGCATAGGTTGAGACAATTCACCAGAGACAGGGGGAATAGAACAGACAGATCCTCTGAAATACACAGCTGAGGGGAGCAGCCAGTGAGACAGGAGAAGCCTGCTGCACTTTTGTGGGTCAGCTCCCTGGCCTGGGATGGAAAGCAGGCACTCAGGCAGTAGCAGTGAGAATGCTGAGAATTAACCTCTAAACCACCAGCAAAGCCTTCCCCTTTGGCTATTTTCAATATCAAAACAGTATAATGGAAATCTCACATTTAATTGCAGTCATTTAATTGTTGTTATGAAACACTATCTTAAAATATCAACATTTTTCTTTGTTATAATTACTGAAGCTACCTCTAAGGTCAAAGAACACTATCTGTGGCTTTTGACCAGGAACATTTCTTTATCAGGTGGAATGTTGGACTGGATGACCACAGAAATCCTTGATGGCTTTCTATGATTAGATATTATCTATTAATGCTAATAACCAGGGTTTAGAATATATAACATAAATATATAATATATATAATATAATGTATAACTTTACACAGCAGTTAGGCTCTAAAAGTTAGTAAGGCAAACATATCTCATATAGCAAAATTACTTTTGATAATCACTTTGGTAATCCAGTTGAAAATGGTAGATTAGATAACCCATCCAATTTTGTTCCCTCCTAAAATTCCCGCTAAACCATAGTAAATACACTTCTTAAAAAATCCATAAGGAAGAGGAGACAAAGAGACAATAGCAGTGAAATTTTGAAAGCTGGAAGGTAAAAGTATACTCACATAATAGAATACTGCATGTTGTCAAAATGAGTAAGCTACAGAGATAGGCAAAAATATGTCTAAATTTTAGAGCTCTATAATATTAATTGGAAAACAAAAGTCTAAAAGGAATTAAAATATAGTTGTATAGCTTATAGGAACACATGTGATGCAATGTAACCACATAAAATAATGAACACTCAGGATGCCAATTACCTTAGGTGTGGGGAGGTGCAAAGGTGGGTGATGGGGGGGTGTGTGTTAGAGGAAGGTAACTTTAAGGTCTCAGTCTTGATTTAGGGGGTGGGTTAAAAAATGCTGACTACAAAATTTACAGTCACCAATTAACTATGTAAACAAGGCAAGTATGTTATGTTTAAAGGGTGAAGTTTAATCAAAGTCTGTTCTTCTGGCAAAAAAGCAAATTTCAACAGAGCTAGAATTGAGAAAGCAAACTACTAAGCCATTAGTAGAAAAGAGCAATGCTGTTTAATTTTATTTACCAAAAATGAACACTTGTAAGTTCTATACATGCCAGTACAGGGCTCTCTGGAGAGAAGGTGAAAGGGGTTGAGTTAAAATAAGTAGGATGACTTATGAACTATTTAAGAAATTTTTAGATTTCTAGATCTTCTTCCCCACCCCTCAGAGTACAGTTAACTTTGTGGAGAGCTGAAGAGAGGGATCTCTAGACTGGGAGGCAAAAGAGCAAAGTCACCTAAGCAAAAGCGAGAACTTGGTGAAGTAAGTGAACATACGTGTGCTGAATGCAGAAACCCTGGCTCCCAGCCTTGCCTTCCAAAAGCCTATCTTTCATGTGGGAGGTTGGGAGTCTTCTCAACACACCTAAAGACACTGACACTGATTATTTTCTAAGAAATGGGCAGTAGTTCCACCTACTGGGAACTTCAGAAATGACAAGTCCTCCCAAGTACTCAGAGTTTCTCACAACTTCTAAGTCTGTCACCAACCTGGATAGACAACTATGATTTACCAGATATCTGTGGAAATCACCATAAAATCATCAATACCAACCTGCTCTTCCCCTCCCAAAAGCAACTTGAAGAAAACAGACATTATGCAGAGTATAAATAAAAAACAAAAAAATCTATCAATGTCATAAAAATATGAGAAAATGTGGAGCTAGCTATAAAAGAAAAAAGAAGAGAATACTATTTATTCATTAAAAAAGGTGCTTTTGGAGAAAGAAGTAAAACTGCTCTTGGAAATTAAAAACAGGGGGAAAAAACCCTGTTTTCTAGGAACGAAGGGTAATGTTTCTAGACTGAAATGGCCACCGCATGCCCAGGACAATGAATGAACACATATGTGAAACCAGCACACAGGGCAAAGGGAGGATTCTATAAATTTCTACAGGAACAAATGTGTACAAAAAAAATCAGTAATCAGCAATTCAGGAAGCTAAAAGACAATGGGAGATTTCCTTCAACTCTCTATACAAAAGTTATTTCTAATCTAAATATCTACACTCAGCTGTTATCCACCAGTGTGAGATGATAGACATTTTAAGATGTACAAGATCTAAACATATTTTACCTTTTACATACCTATGTTAGGAGTCTACTGGAGACAGCTGTCAAAATAAGGGAGTAAGCCAAGAAGGAAAAGACAGGAAAAACAACAAAGACATCTAACACTGGAAAAAGAAGTAAATCTCATATTTATGATATTTATCATAATGAATCCAGATTGAAGGACATCAAAATATTCTACCACAGATCTTTGAGAAGAAATTGATAGACTATGCAGTACACATCTCTGTTGGGGCAGCCTGGGCAGTGCAGGGCTCCTTGACTTGGTCTGCTGATAGCATCCAGGAGGAGGTAGAAGTCAGGACCACAGGACCCAGCCCGCATTCCTGTTTATGCAGATTGAGGATTACCAGGGTTTTGACTTTCTCATCTGTACATTCCACCTTGGCTGTTCTGAGCTATGGCCCTCCCTCCCTCTACTGTTCTAGGGTGTAAATTCTCTCCCTACACTCCCTTGGGGTGGCCCTTCCTCCCTTGGGCGTAGGCTTGTGTGAGCTCCTTTACAATCTTGAGGAGTGATTTCAGATCAGCTAGCAGAAAATTTGGGTTTGATCTCTGATAAGCACAAAGAAAATCAGGAAAGTAAGAATAACACAGTTAATTAACTCTTGTGAACAAAAAAGTATATGAATGGAGGGAAAAGTATTCATAGTTAGCACTTAGCACGATTCTGCCTGGCAGACATTGTCACAGTAATATAAGTATTGAATATTGATCTAAACAAAATTATGCTATAACTATGCTAATGGTATAAAAATATGAGTGCATGAGGGAAGAGCTGGGAAGAAAAAGAGCTAACTCCTCATCTTGAATGTAGGAAGTCAAAAGATAACAGTTAACAATGAAAAATCAAGGGTTAACAAGTATGTTATTTAGCCATATGTAGGTAAGAATCACTTAAATAAGAGTCAAAAATGATTACCCCTGTGGGAAAGGGAAATGCAGGTAAGGTGACCTGGGGTTGGTTTACCAAGAGTCCCCCAACTTAGAATAGTTTTGTAGCTGGGTGGTCCCTAGGAAAAGGGGAAGTTCCAGGTTCCCTGCCCCACCCAGAAGGAGGGTGGAGCTGAGCAGAGAAAAAGGAGAGAGAAGAGAAGGAAGCAGGATGGAGAGCCAGGAGACTTGAGGAAGCCACATAGAGCAGCAAGCATGTGATGAAGAAACCGTGCTTGTTTCCTGACCCTGGACTGGTTAAGGCAGATGTGGGTGAGATATCTGTGGGGAGGTGGCTATGGCAGTGTTTATATTGATTTTGATTTTGCTCTTTTCCTTCCAGACTTGTCTGGCCATTTCTGACCCTTTTCCATGGGTCCCAGCCAGAAGGTGCTTTAGACTTACGGTGGGCTTTTGGGCCTTGTTTTGGACCAATCCCTTTTGGGTGGACTTTGCTCACGAGGGGATGGGTACCTTCAGGTGTTTGATTTAGACATTATATTCTTTGTGTTCCGTATTGTATACTCGCAGTATTAAAGACCCTTTTCATTAAAGTCCTATATGTTTTGTCTTGATGTGGCGGATGGCAGAACCTGTTTGGAGCAGGCAGGTTTGGGGGTTCAAGGGTGCCCCTCTCTCCCTGCCCTGTAACAGATTGACTTATGATTTTTCAACTTTACAATGGTGTGAAAGTGAAATTCAATAGAAATGCACTTTGAATTTTGAAGTCTGATATTTTCCGAGACCAGACACATGTAATCCTGTATTTATTGTAATATTAAGCAGTGGCAGAAGCATAAAGGAGAGTCCTGAAGCCCTCAGTGGATTTTACAGGCTTTAATGCTTTCGCAGGGAACCAGGTACAAAAAGGCATGCCAGACAGGGAGGCTGGACTACAAGGAGGCAGGCCCCAGCCTGGGAGGGCTGGGGGCCAGGCAGGCAACGGAGCCTCCCAGCTTCCCATGAATCTTCATGCTCATTCTATGGGTTCACCAGTATTCTCTCTTGAGTAGTCTCGTGGTCTCACCACTTCTGTACTCATGCTGCTTGTCCCTACAGCTGTCATCTTTCTCTAGGTGACACTGCCTTTGTATGCCTGGCCTCTATGCTCTGATGTGCACACATGTTATACATGCCCACACCCATGCTCCAGGTGTCCACAATCAGGCTCACATGCCCCACACCCATGCTCGAGATGTCCACAATCAGGCTCACATGCCCCACGCCCACACACCAGATGTCCACCATCAGGCTCACATGCTCCATGCCCACACCCATGCTCCAGGTGTCCACAATCAGGCTCACATACCCCACGCACAGGTTGCGAAGCGCCTTCTACATTAACTTTATCAAGGCTGCAGGTGACAGCCACAGAAGCTAGTGGTATAAAAAGCCTGATTAACTCACTTACCCTACACCATAGTTCCCAGTCAGCCCCTGCTCAGGGGATGAGTTCTTTACAAGGTACTGTGGAGGAAGACCTGTATTTCTTAAATTGTGTTGAATTGGTTTACTCTTTTTTTTTTTAAAAGATTTATTTATTTGTGCATACAGAACTGGGGTACAGGCCAGAGGCTCAGGGGCAGTGAGAGGCTTCACCAGAGACAGAGTGGGGAACAGAACGGCAGATCGACGAAGTACACTGCTGAGGGGAACAGCTGGCGGGTCAGGAGAGGTCTGCCACACCATGTGGCCACCTCTGGGACAGGCGGGAATCGAACTCATGCAGAAGCGGCTTTAGATTCTCAGTGCTGTGCTTTAACCTGCTGCGCCACCAGGGAGGGCCGGTTTACTCTTTTTATGTATAGTTAAGGAAAGAAGAAAGTCTCTAGGAGTTCAGAAAGTTTCTTAAGAATGGAGACTAACATACTTCCTTATAAAAACCCATCTTTGAGATTTAACATATACAATAAACTGCACAGGTTTTGTTTGATTAGTTTTGATATATGTTATTAGGTTGTCAGAAAAGTCATGATGCATATTTTAATAGAAAACAAAAAATATGTCATGACTTTTTTTGGCGACTCAATATAGCTATGTAACTGCAACCTCAATCTAATATCCATCTCTTACTGAATTAAAGAGAGTTGGTTTTCTCTTCAGTTGAAGCTGGTAATTTCTTTCATTGATTAAAACACAAACTGGTTGAACTGCATCTAGTGGATACAAATACTTATCTTTAAACCCAAGAATCACAGTATATAGTGAGATTCACTGATAGAATGGGGGCTCGTGTATCCCATTCCCCACTCAACCTAGTGTCTATATAAGTGTCTATATTCTGTAGGGAAAATGGAGTGACTCAGGGTTTTTCCTGTCTTCCCACTGCCAGCCTCTATGGCTACCACCTGTGACCTTGCTTACCTGCCAGGTTTCATCTCCCACATGTGATATCATGTTGGTGTAAAAAGCACTTGGCATGCCTGGACATCCGGGGCTGAGGGGCATGAGCATGGGGTGTGCATGCCTAAAAATATGGACCCCTAGGAGGTCATTAAGATGAAGATCAATAGAAGAGAAGGCAGAAAGGGAGCACAGAGATTGCAGGGGCTAGGAGACTCACTTGCTGCCAACTTCCCAGCTCCCAGCTCCCTCATGACTGCCTCCCTTTGGGCTGCTCTGCTTGTATCTGGTCCCCTGCTTCAGCATTAAATGGCGGTTAAATCTATCTAAGGCTCCAAGATGCCTTATTCACCTACCCAATGAACCTGAGTATCTGCTCATCGTGGTCCTGATTTGCTACTGCAATTGGCCTAAGTCAGCAGGATTTGCTGCAGACCGAGAGGAAATGACAGTTCACAAGTAGGTTGCTTAATAGTACTCTCATTGTTATTTTTCTATTTAAAATCTGACTATATTATCCTGTGTGCTTTGTAGATCCTCTACTTACTGGCTTTCTACTCCTATGTTCATTCACATTTGAACTTCACATAAATGCCATATTTGGTCAAGTGGATATGGGCATGCAAATTAAGGGGGTGAACAGCTGACCCATACTCAAAACATAATGGTACTTCCTCCTTTTTTATTAGAGGAGGCATAATAGTCAATATTTTATATTGCCCACTGAACACTATTCTTTAACAAGTATGTAGGAACACATGGTAATATAGTCATGAGTGGAAGAATGCTCGGAGAAAAGAGATGATGGTACATTTGTCAAGTGATCCCACTTCCAGAAAAGCAAGCGTGTAGTTCCAGGAGAAAAATTCCAGCCTGAGATTCCCACCATAGAACTTGTATCTTTCCCTTTGCTATAAGGATATTGTAATTCTCATTCTGAAATTTCCAGAAACTTTGGCCCTGATTCTATACAAAAATAAGTCACACTCGCTACTTGATTGCACCTGACAATCAGCCACAGAAGCTGTTATTATAATATTAAGTTTCACAAATTAGTAGTGACAAGTAAGGTTTGCCTTGAGTTATTCAGGGTGGATGGAAATAAATCTAAGTTTATACAAGCTAAGAAAAGTTTTACAAAGTAAGATTTCCCTCTGGACCTCATAAAGTTGTTTGGACAATGCTGAACGAGATCACAGAATGTCTAATGGTGCTGAGAGAAAAACTACACAAGTTAGAGTCTGACACATAGTGGGTTACAGAGAAATTTTCCTTTAGTCTGTAGTTTTAGTAACTATTTGTACACTTTCTGGCAACTAAAAAACCTTTATCTACCTAACTTTTGGCCTTGAGAAGCTGCGCCCTCAGTTCAGGGCTCGGTGGCTGGTTACCTGACATTGTGGGGCTGCTTGTCACAGGACAGCACGGTGATGGCGATGGACTGCTGCAGGTGCTGTCGCTGCCGCCTCAAGATCTGCTGGAAGTCATCTTCCAACGTCTGGACTACATAACGCAGGAAAAGGACTCGCCCGGGCAGATTTTGTCCCTGTGGGAGAAAAAAAGAAAAGTCAGTATTTCCTCTTAGTGTCCCATGTGAGCACTGGATTCTCACAAATACTATGTCCAAAGGGTGGCCATGAGTGAACGTGTTTGTCTGTACTTCTGGGAGACAGCGGCAGCCTGAGTCATCACAAAAGAAGGCAAACAGAGAAGTAACTGCTGGAAGAATCATACCCTATAATAGATCACTTTCTAAAATCCCTGTTTCCTCATCTGACTTCTTTCCCAAGGAGCAGCCACCCAGCCATAAATATACTGCCTAGTCAGCAAACTCTCCACTCTTGATGTTAGAAACTAGGGATCAAAAAAAATCTAGGCATCTACAGATAAAATTGCTTAACAGAAGTCTGTTTCAAGTTCTGGGATTGTAAACTTCCTATTTTAGGAGACAACTATGGGGAGTCAATCTCTTTCACTGTTCCTAACAATAGTCTCAGGACAAACCCTAAACTGCACATAGCAGAACAGAGGCAGAAACTGGCTCTTTGTTGACTTAGAGCTCTGGGCCAAGCAACCATGACATCTCCCCGACTGCTTGACTTCCTGTAATGTGAACTGTACATTCCCTTATTGTTTAGAGAAGTCTAGGTAGGTCTTTCTATTACAGCGGAGATAAAGCTGGATGATGCAGGTAAAGAATACAAGCCTGGGTGGTACAAAGGTCTTATTAATTGATGTATTTATCTTCGTATGTGTGTATGAATGTATGTTTTAAGCCCTGTTTTATCACTTGTGAGTCTCAGTGTTCTTGTAATTCACCTGGTGTTGTTCTGACTGCATTAAAGTCAGTGTAAATACACAGCAGGCCTCAGTGTTCTTGTAATTCACCTGGTGTTGTTCTGACTGCATTAAAGTCAGTGTAAATACACAGCAGGCATGCATGCACAACTGTTGATTTCTTTTACTGGGAGACAGGTGCTGGGATCTGGGTCGAGGAGCCCAGGTTTTGAAACTCAAAAGAATGAGAAGGCACCAGACCACTTCTTGACTTTGGGAACTCTTCAAATACCAAGTAGTAAGCACATTTTCTGGGAACATAAATCACAGACCAGGATATGGCTCATTCACCAGAAAAGAGGATGACCCTTTTTTAAAAAAGTGAGATAAAATTGATATACAACATTGTATAAGTTTTAGGTGGATAGCAGATTGCTACTCTGTTCATTTTTTAATCAGATTTTTTTTTTTTGCCATTGAGTTGTATGAGATCATTCTTAGCGGGTTTCATTTCTTTCTTTCCTTTTGGGGAGGAGAAAAGTGTGATACTTTGTCTTTCAAAGTATCCTTATGATTGGAAACACATGACTTTTTAATTATATGTTGCTAACTTGGTGTCTCCGTGGGGAAATAAGGGCCTGGACTCTATCAGCTTGATGATGTTTCTTAAGTGATTCTCTTTTAGAAATCCTGTTAAATTACTCCAGTCTAGACTGTCTGCTACTTAGACCCACTATTCACTGTAAATTTTAGGGCTTTTCTTTATTCATCTCCTGCATTATATTCCTATCTCCTGTGTTAGGTTAGGGTTTCTGTGCCTTCTTTCTTGAATCTTGTTTCATTCTTTTGGTGCATATCTTCAAGTACCTCTTATGAAATAGGTTGTAGGGACTTTTTTTTTTTTTTAAATAAGTTCCTACATGTCTAAAGATGTCTTTATTCTGAAACCTCACACTTGTCTAATGATTTGGCTGTTTATAGAATTTTAAGTTGGAGGTAATTTGTCTTATTCAAATGCTTTTGGGTAAACAGACAAAAAACTGACAGTAAAATTTAGGGATCCCAATAGGTCAGAATGTAGAAGACATTTTCACCTGAAGCACTAACTCCACACTTGCTGTCTTCATTTATTACAGACGGTTCATTCTCTTTCTTCAGACAAAGAGTCCTGCCTTGTCTACCTGAGGGATAAATAACCCAGTGACCAAACTTTCTGGACTCTAGAATGGAGAGGTAGACTCTTTCACCTACAAATTTTCAACACATATTCACTTATAATACCATACAATCCTCTTATATTTTGTGTTTCTGAGTCCAAATTTTTTTCCCTCAAGGGCAGGTTGCCTTCCCCTTGACTACAGCCCCTTCACATATATTCTGGTCTGTGGTTTTCTCTGCTAAGTTTAACTAGTCCTTACTCCTACATTTCTTTATATCTTCCACTTTTCCTTCTTATCTACTGTCCTTCCCCTTCTTTTCATCACCACAAATTTACTACTATTTTTATTGGCTCTCAAGGAGAGGGGTACGCATATTTACTTAATCTTGAGTTAGAAGGTACCATTTACTGTTCCTATAAGAATTTTTTAGTGAGGTGGAATAATGGCAAAGGCTTAATACCAGATTTGCTGTGACTTCTGTTTCCAGTTAAAAATTCCTTAAAGATGTCTTAAGTTTTAAAACATATATCCATAATCATTGTTACCTCTTCTTCCATGACATAGGCAAGTAGCTTCCAGTCCCACTCTACTGTCTTGGAGTTAGCTGGGTGTAGCCTGAAAATCAAGTGACATCTATTAGAGTTCTGAAGATTTTAGAGCAAAAAGTGATGGGGTCTGGAATATGAAGGGAACAAGAAGTCTCCTGTTAATCTCAGTACTCTCACCCACACTATAGCATACCATATCATTTGAGGGTAATAAAACATCATTACTCCCTCTTGGAGTATTAGTACCCCTATTTTGTTTTCAAGAAATCAATTCTTTATTAATTTTAGCTCCCTGACTTTACTTACTAGGGCCCTGGGTGGTAGCCTATGAAACAAGTAGAGCCAATCTTTATATTTTACCCTTCAGCTCATAGTAACTGGCTCAAAATACACTAATATCTCATGTTAGGACAATTAAAGTCCACAAAATTCAGTTTCACAATTCCTGTGTGAGTATAATGCAGTGGACTCTTTCACATTCTAAAAGGGTGCCAGAAAAGCTAAAAGCTGAGAAGGCTACTGTATAAAATTTGGAAACTAAACCAGAACAAAGATGAACTATGAGCCATAGTAACCATTTCTGAAAAGAGTTAGGTCTTATTTCTAGATTTCAAATACTATGAGTCACTAAATTTTCCCAACTCAAAGCCAGTTTGGATAGGGTTTTCTATCACTTGTGATCCAAAAAATACTAATATAGTAAGCCACCCTCCCTGATGGTTGTGCTGCATAAAGCTTAGCTGAGTAAAGCTGAGGGAAGAGATAGTTATGCCTCAAGTCAAGCAGCCCTAGAAAATTTGCCCATAGCCAAGGTTCATACTGTTGTATTTTCATGAGAAGCATGTAGGCCTCCTTTAGGACATCCACGGTCTCAGAGCCACTGAGCAGGATTTTCTGGATGATGTGAGCCACAATTTCTCTGGGTGGGTAATGCTGGGGTGATACAAAGTCCATCAAAAACTGCACAGTCCCCAGGGGAAAATTTTCTTCAATGGTGTTTGTTACCATTCTTAGTCTTCGATGAGGGATGGGTTCTAATTTTTGACCCTTGCTCTGTATAAACAAAAGGAAATAAATTAGGATGGGTTTCTACAGACATTAAAACGAGGTTCTGGAACAAGGCTGATAATAGTGTAATTTTCCATGCATGCAAAATATTTATAGTTTAAAAAAGACAGAAATCTTATCTAAAAACGTTTTAATTTCAAAGTTTAAATGTGACATAATTTCATTTGTTAAAATATAATATAAAATTAAAAACTATCATAGAAGGAAAAGTACAGCAGAATCAAGACTAGCCTAAATTGATTTTGGATGAAGGTGATGAAGTATTTAATGGTAGGTCAATGCTATATGAGATGCTGAAATAAAGAAATGAGGACGTTTTAAATATGTTTTATTGTTAGGAGAATCCCATTTTGTTGTGTTGAGGTTTCTTGAGTTAAAAATAAATACTACTTTGCTCCCCACTTCCTTCCCTTACCCTGTTATTCACATAAAGACTGGGAGAGAATACTATGTTGAAAGTAGTTTTTTATTATTCAGGTGGTAGAATAATAGATCATTTTTCCCCTCTATATGTTCTTTCACATTTTAATTTTTTCCATAAAGTCATACATTACTTTTGTAATCTGACAAAAACCAATGTATAGGACTATAACAATAGTTTTTGAATATTTAATTTATCCCCACAACAATCCTAAGAAATATATATTATTATTCTTCCTATTTTATAGATAAGGAAACAAATTTAGAGAGTAAGCATCTGCCATGTACAAGTAATAGAAGCTGTTTTCATATATAGGTCATTTAAATCCATAGTTACCCTCTAAATCTGCACTCTCTAAACAACAAAAATAATAATGAATAATTTTTGTTAAAATACCAATTACTAAAAATTTAAAATGCCATATATGAAAAGACAACCAGGAAGAAAATGTTTCAAACTGTTAACAAAATAAATACTGAATGATAAAACAAAGGGTAATTATTTTTATATTATTAAAATGTTAAGTATTATTTTTAAAATTTGAAAATAAGTTTTAGTTGTAAAACAGGCTACCAAATATTTTATAGCTTAAGCATAACAGACTAAAACAGTGATGGCTAGAACTGATGTTCCAGAAAATCCTATGGAGGACAGAACTCTAGTTATCTTTCCTTATGTCTCAAATCTCAAATCCGCCTGAAGTTATTGACAGAGACTAATACTAAAAGGCATGCAATAATATTTAAGAGAGCAGATAAAAGAAGACAAAAGTTGCTTTTGGTGTCTGGTTTCATATTTGATACTTTAAAATTGTGAACTATTACTTATTTCTTGCTTACAAATGGGAATATGTATAAGCAGACACAAGGTTAAAAACTGTTGTGATATCTGGATCCTTAAAGGGAAATCATACTGAGAAAATACTCTTTAGACCCTGAAAGGTGGCTTTGTGTTTTAAGTGTTTGCTTTTTTTTTTTTTTTTAAAGATTTATTTATTTATGCTTACAGAGCTGGGGTACAGGCCAGAGGTGTGGTGGGTGAAAAGGATTCACCAGAGTCAGAGCGGAGAACAGAACAGGCAGACTGATGAAGTACAATGCTGAGGGGACCAGTGGGCAGGTCAGAAGTGGTCTCTAGCGTCATGTGGGTCAGCTCCCTGGCTGGGGATGGAACTCGTGCTGCAGTGGCTTTGGAAAGCTTCATAATGTGGTACTTTAACCCACTGCACCACAAGGAAGAGCCCTTAAGTATTTTTTTTTTAAAGATTTATTTATTTATTCATACAGAACTGGGGTACAGGCCAGAGATGCGGAGGGTGAGAGGATTCACTAGGAACAGAGTGGGGAGCAGAACAGGCAGATCGAGGAGGTACACTGCTGAGGGGAGCAGTGGGCGGGTCAGGAGAGGTCTGCCACACCATGTGGATCTCCTCCGGGGCAGGTGGGGATCCAACTCATGCAGAAGTAGCTTAAGCTTAGTGCAGTGCTTTAACCCGCTGTGCCACCAGGGAGGGCCAAGTATTTACTTTTAAGGCAAACATCTTTGCGATATGGCACTATGATTAATGAAAGAAGAGACCAATGGCTGGTGACTAGCAGAGTGGGGACTGATTGTTGGATTCTAGGTGAAAAATTACCCTAGTGAAGAAGTACTCATTAAAAGCTAAAGAAGTCACAGGAGTACTATAGAAAGTTAAGGTTTGTTAAGAAAGTAAGGAAAAGATTAAGAAAGTTCTCCTTTACCTAGTCTAACAATTGCCTTATACAAGTACACAGAAGAGGGTTCGAGGTCTCCCAATCAATCTACACTCACTGAGAGCAATGTGAGTATCTATACTGCCACCACAGCCTTGACTAGGGAGACAAAAAGTGCTAATGATAGCGGGCAGAAGCAAACCTGAGGCAAACACTCAGGAAAAGAGAATGAACTGGTGGTTGGATGCAGTCATTCAGAAGGGAAAGATATAAAACACAACAAAAATTAAAATGAAAGGGGAAAAAAATTCACTCACCAAGGCCAAGCAATGCAAACGCTTGATGTGTGCTGAGCTGGATTACTGATGGCGCCACTAAGGTGAGTGTAGCATTTGACTTGCTGAAACCAGTTTTCGTAATGGTGGGGATGAGGTAATGAAAAGATAGCCTCATATTTTAGGGCTTAGAGTCTGGGTCAGGTCTTCCTACTGAAGACTAATGGAAGTAGGATTTCCATTAAAATCTTAAAATTTAATTTCCTTCCCCAAAAGTCAATAAATTTGGTGTCACTGAAGTGTTGGAGTATCTTTGCAATCCTGGAGCTATAATAAGGGCATCAGAAGGGAAAGGCAGGAACTGAAGAGAAGTATGGCCTCTGATAAGTCTGACATGCTAAGTCTGATGGGCACTATACTCGTGGTATCTCATTTGATGATCCTCTGAAATACATTCTTATCTCCATTTTACAGATAAGAAAGCTCAGTCTCAGAAAAGTAAAGCAATTTTTTTAGTGCCAATTTTAAGTTTGTGGCTGAAATTTGAGCCCAGATCTGAGTCTACAATGAATGCTTCTACAAGTAGGGGAATGATAAAAATATCAACTTTATACTGGTCCTCTCATGCATTGACTCCTTAGCTCAGACTTACTGATAGCATGATAGCCCACTCCCAGGGACATCAACTCCTCAAGGGGAAGATATATTCGCTCACCTCTCTTGTGTCTTTATCTGGTATTAGCGTCTGGAAGAAAAGGTGATGTACCGGAGGTCGTAAGAAATACTTCAGTCTATGTAGGCATGGTCTGTTGTGCAGCCCACCTTGTGGCATTTGTGCTTGTACATGGGCAGGTCTAGGGTGGCCAGGTTCTGACGGTGATACCTCCTTCCTGGCTGGAGTTTCTGTGACAGAGAGCCAAGGAACTTTCTCTAAGGAAGCATCAGACTCTGGAGACTGTGGGCTGGAGGAGCAGCTTGGAGAACTTGGAGCTGAGATGTCCATAGGAGTGTCACAGTTCTGTATATCATTTGGGGGTGAGTCAGGTTTCTCCAGAGGTGAGTGCGACAATTCTCCAAGTGAGTGTGGTATGTCTTCTGGCAAGTGTGATACATCTCCAGGTAAGCCTATCACATCTGTTGGTGTATATGGGCCTTCTCCAGATGAAGATGTCACACCTTTTGGTGAAGGCTGTGGCATGCCTGTTGGTGGCTGTGGTATGTCTGCTGGTGGCTGTGGCATGTCTGCTGGTAACTGTGGCATGTGTCCTGGTGACTGTGAAATGTGTCCTGATGACTGTGGCAAGTGTCCTGATGATTGTAGTATGTGTCCTGTTGACTGTGGCATGTGTCCTGGTGATTGTGGCATGTCTCTTGGTGATTGTGGCACATGTCCAAGTGATGGTGGCATATCTTGCAGCTGTGCCACATCTGCTGGATATGATATGTCTTGAGATGGGCCTGGTATATCTTGAGGTAGGCCCAGAATGTCTTGAGGTGGGCAGACTGAGTCTTGAGGTGGGCCTGGCATATTCTGCTGAGGGCATGGCACATTCTGAGGGCATGGCACATCTTGAGGAGGACATGGCACTTCTTGAGGCAGGTGAGGCAAAGCTTGTAGCTGGCATTGCGCTGTTTGTGATGGGCATGACAAGGCTCGTGGCGGGCATGAGGAGGCTCGGGGTGGACATGGTGAGGATCGCAGCAGGCATGGCAAGGCTCGCAATGGGCATGGCAAGGCTTGTGGTGGGCAAGGCACATCTTGCTGTAGGCATGGCAAGGGTACCCTTTGATTAGTGCTGCTACCATTATTGCTTGTTGGGGAGAGGGAGTGAACATTTGAAGAGAGCTGCAGGCTGGCCAAGAAGCCTAGGTCACCTTTTAGTGTGGTTGAGCTACAGTTCGGCTCTGCTGGATAAACAGAGTCCCCACTAATGGGTGGAAGGAGTTGGCGGCCTTCAAATGTGGGTTCTTCTAAAAGGTCCAAATCCACAAGATCGCTGTTGATGATCCTTTGTGCTGCAGGCCGAGAGCTTCTGTCTACATGCCCTTCTAGTGTTTCTTTGCTAGAGAGACCAGTACATGTCTGAAGACTGGCTGGTTCCTTCTGGGAAGGAGCAACAGGTTCTAGAGTCAAGTCAAGAGTAGCAATAGGTCTGTTTTCTTCTTCAGTTCTTGTCAGGTCAATCACACAGAGTCCATTGCGATCCTTGGCCCTTGGCCTGGCTTCTCTAGTTAAATCAATGAAGTCCTATTGAAGGATTATGAGAAAATAAGAGGTCAAGTAGGAAATTTCAGCTTTAAGGAGACTTAATTCTTAGCTTTAAAGGCTAAACATATTTTCCCTTTTCTGACAGTTTTTATATCTTGTATGGCATAAACATTCACTTACTTCCTTTTGTCAAAAATTTGCTACTGTCAAAGTTTTCAATTATATACCTCCGAAATTATCCAAATGAGACATGCACATATAACTAAAGGCATAATGGACAGATTAGTAGGGAAGATTTCAACCTTAAGTCAAAGTAAAAGGCAACTAACTATTGTTTGGAAAAGCAAATACACAGGATAATCTACAATAAAAGCAAAAGAGAAACTAAAATAAGAGAACCTACTGTATGCTAAGAACATGTTGAGTATTTCTACACTATATGTGATTCTATCAGATAGGCATTATTATCTCCCTTACATAGATGTGCTAACTGGAGTTCAGAGAAGGTGAGGTTGTTTACCTAAGGACTATACAGCAGAATAGCAGATAAGGCATTCAAACTCAGATCTGTTTGTCTCTTTCCCTTTAAGGATCTGTGAATGTATACCTCCATTCAATATGTAATCAGTCTGTAGTCAGATACAGAGGATGATGATATAATAAAGATTATAAAACAGACTGAGTCTGAACCCTACCTGGGTTACTGAAAAACTTCCTATCTTCACCCCCATTCCTTGACAAAAATATCATGCAGTTCACAAAGTCTGATGTGCCATGAAACACTGTGCCATGATCCTCGAACAATTTTTTTCTACTTTCCTGGTGTCTCCTCACTTGGTTGGGTACTGGCAGGGTAGGTATCAATTGTTATGCCTACCACAGTTACTATGCTATTTCTCTTAATAGATGTGACAGTCATCACTATGAATGGCGCCAAAGTAGGGCACAGAATTCTATGTGGGTCAAGTGACAAGTTGGTGTGCACCTCAGGTTGGAATAGGAATTGTTTGGTGAAACTCAATGTCTCATTTCTAGGAAACAATCATAAAGTATCACTGCCATTGGTGGCTCCTATACTGCTAGATGAATCCAACATAAATAGCTGTAGGTCATTGAGAGTCTGACTCAATTTCTCTTTCATGCCAGTAGCTAAAATGCAACATTAGGGTTCTCGCTGGTGGTGCAGTGGGTTAAAGCACAGCATTATGAGGCTAGCCACAGCCACTTCAGCACAAGTGCTTTATGAGTTCAATCCCTGGCCAAGGAGGTGACCCACATGGTGCAGCAGACCTCTCCTGTCTCACCTTCTGCTCCCCTCAGCAATGTACTTCATCAATCTGCCTATTCTGTTCCCCACTACGCCCCTGGTGAATCCTCTCACTGCCCTTGCACCTCTGGCCTGTGCCTCAGTTCTGTATGCATAATAAATAAGTCTTAAAAAAAAACATGCAACATTAGCATGTCTTGCACTTGAAACTGACCACAAATACCTTTGTCAGATTCATAAGGTCCTTCATTAAAAGCCTGTACTTGCCTATAGTCTCTCCCTGACTCTCTCCTTATATGATCAAATCACACAGAACTACTATGGATTCCTAAATGTGCCTTGTTTTCTCAAGTACATTTATCTTGTTTATATTCTTTCTTTTCCCTGGAATGATTACTATCCCTTTGATTGTTTGGAAGTTTTGTATCTTTTAAGCTTCAGCACAGCTATCACTCTGTGTGAAATTCTTTCAGAATACTTCTTGTTTCAGAATAAATTAACTTCCTCAAAGCCCCCTGCATCCAAAGAATTTAACATTTAAAAATGCTACTGAAAATATATTTTATGTCATTTTCCAATTAACAATTGCTAGTATATAGAAATACAGTTGATTTACATGTATCTTCCTGCATCTTCTGACCTTGCTATATTCGTTTTCTAGTTCAAGTAAACCTTTTGTAGATTTCTTGGGGTTTTCTATATAAACATTCATGCTATCTACAAATAATGAAGTTTTACTTCTTTCTTTCCAATCTATATGCCTTTTTGGGGGTGACCTACTGCAATGGCAAAGGCATTGAGTATAATGCCCAATATAAGTACTGTTCTTGAACAAGTAAAGAATTTAATATTTTCACCTTTAAACATAATGTAAACTCGAGTTTTACTGCTTATTTTTTTTTAAAGATTTATTTATTTGTGCATACAGAACTGGGGTACAGGCCAGAGGCTCAGGGGCAGCGAGAGGCTTCACCATTAGACAGAGGGGGAGCAGAACAGGCAGATTGACAAAGTACACTGCTGAGGGGAGCAGCGGGCGGGTCAGGAGAGATCTGCCATGCCATGTGGTCACCTCCGGGGCAGGAGGGAATCGAACTCATGAGGAAGTGGCTTTAGCTTCTCAGTGCTGTGCTTTAACCCGCTGTGCCACCAGGGAGGGCCTTATTGCTTAGTTTTAAAGACTTATTTTATGCATGCAAGAACTGGGATGAAGGCCAGAGGTGGGGTTGGGAGATGATGAAAGGATTCAGAAGTGACAGAGTTGGGAGAAGAATAGGCAGATCTACTGAAATACACTGCTGAGGGAAGAAGCCATTAAGATGGGAGAAGTCTGCTACGCCATGTGGGTCATTTCCATAGCCAGGAATGGAACTCATGCTGCAGTGGCTGATGATAGCTTGACAGCACTGAGACTTTAACACCCTGTACCACCAGGGAGGCCCAAGCTCTAGTACTTTCACGTTTCAGTATCAGGTTGAAAAATTTTTCTTTTTTTTCTTGTTTTCTGAGGTTTTTAGATGGTTAAGTTTCATCAAGTTTACTACCCCCATTGAATAATTATGATTTTTTTCATCTGTACTATTAATATCAAAATTATACTCATTGATTTTCTAATATTAAACTAATACTGGACAAAACTCCACTTGGTTAAGAAGAACTATTCTTTTGGGTCCTCCCTGGTGGTGTAACAGTTTTAGAGCGCAGCACTGCAAAGCTTGCTATGGCTTCTTAAGTGCAAGTTTGATCCCTGCCCGGAGGTGATCCCTGCCCGGAGGTGCAGCAGACCTCTCCTGTCTTGTCCCTGCTCCCTTCAGCAGTGTACTTTGTCAATCTGCCTGTTCTGCTCCCCACTGTGTCTCTGGTGAATCCTCTCACCGCCCCTGTACCTCTGGCCTGTACCCCAGTTCTGTATGCATAAATAAATTAATCTTTAAAAAAAAGAATTATTCTTTTTTCATAGCTGGATTTAATGTATCAACACTTAACTGAGAATTTTTAAATGTCTATGAGGGATATTAATTTGTTTTCATTTTTTAAAAAAAGATTTAGTTATGCATATAAGAATGTATGTATATATAAATAAATCTTTTTAAAAAGTGTAAAAATAAGCTATTACTACTTTTTATCTAGACTGACAAGCTCTGCCTTTTGATTAGATTTAATTGGTGCCATATTTGCTTTTAAATCTACATTCATGACATCTGTTTCCTGTTCATCCTATTTGTTGTTCCTTGTTCTTCCTTCTTTCCTATCTCCCTTTGAGTTAACATGTTTATTTTCAAGCTTCCATTTTAATTTCTGTGTTGGTTTTCTAGATGTATATCTTTTATTGCGTTTACAGTGACTGCTTTTGGGATTACAAATTCAATTTACTCTGGTGAATTTAGAAAAAATAATAAAAAAAATATTATTCATTTTATCCTGTGCCATATCTCTTTCATTATTGTCATCATATATATACACACACATACACACATTAAATATCATCAATGCAATATTACTATTACTTTCTTTTAAGGAAAGAGATTAAACTCTTAATTTTGGGATTTACACTTCCTGTGATATTTTTTGCTTCTGGGGACTCCTCCCTAATTGATGCTATTATATTGTCCTTTTATCTCTGCCCTCTGACCTTCCAAAATAATAAAAAATCAGGTTCTACATTCCAAGTGGCAAATGATTAGGAAATGTAGTAAAAGAGTAATAACCTCACAGATATTGTCTAAGTAGTTATCTTTCAAGAATAAATTCTTTTTCTTTTCTTTATTTTTTTACTGGAGCCTTAACGAATATTTTAGCAGGTGAGGCAGTTTTATAGATTGAAATAAAAATCTTTGCACTGCTCTCCAAACCTTAAAGAGTTAATTATTCCCCTCTTCAATATTTCCACAGTATTCTGTATATTGTAAAATCACTGTAGTGCATATCACTGAGCACTTGATTATCTTCTCCCCCATTAATACACTGTATCTTTAGTAACTTACAGTTTTTGTACCTCAACAAATGATGTCAATATATTTACTATAGCAATATTTGTTGATTATCCTCTCCTAGTATTCCTAACTGAATTGTATTTCTACTACACATTACTCTGCTTAAATTTTATAGATAATGAAGGTTCCCCAACAGCTCACATGTGCAGAATGAAATTTGGCAATAAGTCTAGCAGACTTTTCCCCTCCTCATAAATCCTATTTTTGGACCTAGATACCTCACAGCAACCCTGTAGGTAAATATTAATTACATTATATACCTTTAAAAAATTACTAGAGGTTGGAAATCACAATAGTTTTCTTCGGGGTTTCTGCATTAGTTTAAATTGTAAGTCTTAAATTTCTGAAAGTTTCTGGTACTTTTCCTTTCCCTCCAAATATAAATGGAAGAGTCACATTGGAGGGACAAAATAAAAATGCCATCATACTCCTCAACAGCAACACTGGAAGCTGGAAGACAATGAGAGGGTGGCTTCAAAATTTGGCAGGAAATGTTTCCAACTTAGAATTCTTTGCACTGCCAAACTCTCATGGGGGTGAGTGTAGAACAGTAACCTTTATAGATAGGAAAAGTAATTCTGATGGTTTATATCTCACTTTCCCTTTTAGAGGAAGCTATTGAAATATATACTACATGAAATGAGGGAGTCAGTCAGGAAGTAAGACCATAGAAGTTCAGGAACCAGGCACTTCAATATAGGAATTCCTAGAAAATAGTGAAAGGAAGTCCAAGGACAGGAGCCAAGCAGTGGGCCCAGCATACTACCATTCCATGGTTG